AAGAATCATCCCTTGGAGTTCGTGGTTGTCTTTGAATGACAGAGGGTTCCTCATCTTTCAGGGCATAGTCTTGTCTCCCACATCCTCGTAGTCTCCTAGACCTCTTAGCTTGGACTTCATGGCGTCGGTACAGTATGTCAGCTGGATGGTGGTTGCACCTGTCTTGAGAATGTTCTTGACGAGCTTGAATGGATGGTGGATGCATACTCAGTCCTGCAGATTGTCACAGCCATGCCCTTCTGGGTGGCCAGCGATGGGGCTGCAGACATTGAAGCCGGTAAGGCGAGTTTTGCATGGGTCCTGGCAGACAACCGCGGCCAAATTGTGCTTCGGTGCTCTGGTCCAGTTTTTGGTATGGTTCCGACTTCATACAGGGCGGAGGCCTATGGCATTCTATCCTCTACTTGCCTACTTCGACGATTGCTGGAGTTCTACAATCAGACCAGCATTAAGAATTATGTACACTTATGCGACAACGAATCTGTGACGAATAAGTGCGCTAGCTGTCTCGAGTACGAGGGCTGGTACCCCAATGATTCGTTGAACTCCGACTGGGATGTCTTGCAGCAGATCGAGGATTCGTTCCGGGCTGCAGTCACTGTGCCCAAGATGGAGCACATCAAATCGCACCAGGACAAGCACAAGGCCATCGAAACACTACCCCTAAAAGCACAACTGAACTGCAGAGCTGACAAACTGGCAGGCAGTTACATGAACAGACACATGAAACAGGATCACTCCAAGGTACTCCGATTTCCGGCAAACCTGGCCCAGCTGCACCTTCCCAAAGGCACATGCACATACAAGCTTCCCAGAACCCTGCGGCATCTCAGGAACGACCAGCCCCTGTTCGACCACATTGTCAAACTGAATCCCGACTGGGACGAGGACACCCCTGCACTGGTCGATTGGACAGCCCATGGTCGCGCTGTCAACCGACACGAGATCCACAAACCGACAATTGTGAAGTTCCTATTTCAATTGTTGCCAGTTGGGAAACGGATCCACCGGGATGACCCCAAGTATGATCACCACTGTCCCCGTTGTGGCGGTGATCACGAGACTGACACCCATGTCTACCGATGCCCGCATGTTGACGTGGAATTGTGGCGAGGGACCATGCAACGAGCGATCAGCACAAAGCTGCGCAAGGATTCCACTGACCCCTTCCTCCTTGAAATTGCTCTGGATGGACTACAATACCACTTTGAAGATCGATTCCTCCACCCATGGCATTACCCAGACAGGTATAGGGATCTTGTTGACACTCAAAATCTCATTGGTTGGGATAACTTCCTGAGAGGACGTTTGTCCACGCACTGGGCTAAGCATCAAGATGCATATCTGCATCGGGTCGGCTCCCAGGAGACCACCAAGACAGGGCAGCTCTGGGTCACCAACCTAGCCTCACTGCTCATCCAGCAGTGGTGGAACCTGTGGGAAAATCGAAATGCTGCCAGGCATGGCAAAGACAGGGAAGACCAGTGGAAGAAGAAGCACGAACAGCTTCAGCGGGAGGTGGAACTCATTTACGAGAAAGCGGATCTGATCCCAGCGGAGCTGGTGGATTTTATCTTCAAGCGACCGCTTGACGAGCAAATGGCAAAGAGCCCAGGCGACATAAAAGCGTGGCTTGCCAATTGGCTGCCCGTCGTCGACAAGGCATTCAGGGACGAGCATGCACGCACAGCGCAGAACAATGACACAGGGTAACTATGCACAGAAGGGGTCTTACCGTAGAAATAGATGGCAATCCAGCCAAGGGTAGCTAGTTAGTCGTACAGCACCCTCCGGAGTTTTGTTAAATTTCTCCGGTGGGGGGCTTACACTAGGCCCATCCTAAGTGGGCGCACTTGTGCGCCTGAGGTATATGGGTTCGTCACGGCACCGTTCAGCGGATCGTCTGACGAGGTGTAGCCTTTAAAATAAAATCTCATTACTCCTGTATTGAGAATGTTCTCATAGGATCGAGTCGACTTGTCATAGATGGATGACTTTGCCTTGTACTCGCTGAGTTCCAAAGCATCGTATTCTTGTGCTTGGGGATCAGTAAGTGACACTTGGAGTGTAGGCTTGGTCGGCTTGGTTGGTGCCTGACTTGTGATGGTCTCAATGGCAAATGAAGCCAGTGGCACATCATTCCACTCAGGCTTGATCCTTAGGTCCTGGACAATGTGTGTCAGGGTCTCCTCAAAAGGATAATACCTGGTGTCAGCCTGTCCATTTGGATGGAAGAGGAACTGACGCTTGGGACTCTTGTTCTGGTTCCTGTAGCTGTTACCTCTTCCTTGATGGCTTCTTCCTGAGGAATTGAATCCCCTACCCCCCTTAGAAGGGTATCTTCCTCCACCACGACCACCTCTTCCTTGGAATCTCATGGTTGCCGTTGGTGTGGTAATGCACTTTTGTGCTGTGCTTGTTCCTTGGAACTAGCTTGTGTTCTTGTGTGGATGATCCTGCAGGAAGGATCTCACGACGGGCACTACTCTTGTAGTTGCCTGTCAAAGCTTGTTGGCTGGATAGCCTCTGTCTTTGACAGCTCACGTTGAACGTGGTATGGATCCTTGGGTAGTAGCGAACTGCCTCTGTTGGTTCTCTTGTTACCTCTGCAAAGCTTGCAGATGGTCTTGGTATGCTTAGATGAGTACACTGAGTGAGTTACAATGACTCAAACAGTTGCACGGTGGAGTTTTGCTTCTCCGGGATACTTATGAGCTTCCTCGTGATTTTTGTGTTTCTCTTCACAGTAGCACTGTATCACTCGAATCAACCTATCTCACTCAATTCTTGGAGTTAGAAGCTTGCACTGATACTCAGAGATGCGGCTAGATGTCCTCTATCGATTGATGTTGGGACTTCTCGCTTGCAACGCCTGTTTCGCTACTTATCTTGATCGCCATTCGATGAGTTCTGCTCGTTATGATGAGACGGATGAAAATCACGCGCGATGACACGATGACGTAATCGACTGTAACTCTTGCAATAACAGCCGGATTTCCTTGCTTCCAGCACGAAACTGGTGTGTCTTCTGGTTCTCTTCAACGTGGTATGCTTGGATCGCTGTAGTTCCGGCCGAAACTGACAGTTGATCTTCCGTGATGTCGAAATGGGAATGAACATGGGAATCTTCCCGCGCACACACCTCTTTCCTGTTAGAGCTGTTTGGTATCCTTTATAGTGTGGCTAGAGCCTGATTCTGCGCACCTCTTCTCTGTTGCAGGTGTTAACTCAAAGCTTTGTCTTGATTTACCTTGGTATCAGTCTCGAGATCGGTTGTATTAACTCGAGATGGCCTTTTGCTTTTCAGTGTTGTTTGCTAGTAATACTGCAGCTTATTGGGGAGTAATTTGGTTTTTGATTAAGCTGCAAGCAAAAGTGAGGATTTTCTGGTGGTGCATAGCAATTCTTGTGATTGAATTGGATATAAGGACCCCCGCAACACTTTAGACCTAAAACTCCCTTGGTTCCTTGCATGATGAATTTGCATGCGAACCGGACTAGATGATTAATACACGAGTCAATAGTAAAGAGGTGTCAGGCATATTTCCTCCAACATGAAGGAGACAAGATCCTTCCCTCTTACAGAGAATACCCTCTATGCCAATGTGAAGCCCATCTTGAAGCTGTTGGGAATCCGTCCTTCTCATCATGGTTGGGAATCGAGCAAGTCTTCATCCACCATGATTGTCTCGTGGCGTCTGATCTACTTAGAGTCAACAGGAAGCAAAAAGTCAACAGGAGGCGTGGTGCTGCGATGCAATGGGAAAAAGCTGCCGTGATCGACACCACACTAGACACAGATGATAGGGGTGAGGTGCAGCAGGCAGGAAACCAGTACTTGTCTAACAAGCCCCCGAAGTGGCTGACTCATTGCATGGACTTGCATGTTGTCCAGGTGCCCGAAGAACCATTGAAGGTGCTTTTGAAAATTGCCAAAAAGCAAATCTTGTCCGTCCCCCATGACTACAACAAAGAGACGAGCAGATTCTGTGGAGAGAAAGCCCGGCCATACAGTCCAGCCTTGCATTCATTGCGGGTGGTGCGAGCATTCCAAGAGGGGACAGAGCCAAATGGCTACGGCCCATGCAGACTGTTCGATTACAATAAGCTTGACCAGGGAGACCAAGAGTCTGTCTTGAAGGCACGTATTGGTGTGTGGAAACAGCCCTCCAGAAGCTTTTGGGGAGTGTGCAAGTCTTAGGATTACCATGTGTTCGATCAAGCTGACTACCGCCAAAGTACCTTTGACACAGATTTGAAGGAAGTCAGCGCCAGTCACCTTGAGCTTCAGCCATCATACCTTTGAGAGATCTAGGATCTTGGTGGGAGGGCAGTGTTTGTGGAGATCCCACTTGACCGATATGGTAAATTTGGCAGGCACCACATTGGTCCAAACGATCAGACAGCCTGCTCACCTACACCGAGAGTGGAAGCGCCCTAGTTGGACCAATGTCACTTTCTCGGGAGGTTGGATACATCACCCATTTCAGGGTAACCGGCACATCCATGTTATGGTCATTTTGTTCCCTCGAGATGTCTCAAATTTTGAGCCCTCGAAATTGAAGGCAAATATGGTGTGTGTGTACCCTCACATCCAGTATCGTAGGTCCTTTTCGAAGGAACATTATTGTGAAGGCATTGCTCTCAGCGCAGACATAGAAAAGCATCTACGTCTCGTTGACATCCTTGATTACAACTTTAAGGTTCACAATGTTGAATCTGACGACGATATCTCCGATGACGGGAATAGCGACAACGAGAAGGACTATTCAACAACAATAGAGGAGCACGAAAGCAAAAAGAAGATTTCGGAGGAGTTCAAAGGACTGAAAAATTGGGGGGATATGTCTTTACTCAACAAATTTTACAACGAGGACTTCAAGAATGTGAACAAATGCTTTGCATGATTGCGTTGCGTGTGTTCTTGTTTCTCCGCAACAAAAACAACTGCAGGCTTTGTTCTCATTCGCTTAGAAACACTTATCATAATCCAAAAGATATTAACCAAAACAACTCTCAGAAACCAACACAAACTTCATCGTGAACTCCATTTCATCGTCATCAGATGAGTGAGACAACAGACTTTCTACTTTGTTGCCTTCCTTAGCCTCCAGTTTATTATTGACACTTCCAATAGAGACCCTGTTTGCTTTTGTGGCAGGAGGAGCAGTTTGTTTTCTGACCACCTTTACCGTCTCAGATTGTTTAGGCAATACATGACGGTACAGCTCTTCATCGCCCTCCTCATCAGATGAGTCCAAGACAATTTCATATACTTGGTCCTCTCTCTGCATTCTCCCTCCTCTCTCGTCTGATTCTGACTCATCGTCACTGCTATCGCCTGACTCATCGTCACTGCTATCGTCACTGCTGTCATCCTTGTTTCTTATTACCATACAAGTCGACTTTCAACTCCTCCAGGTCCCCATCAACCGTTTCATCTTCATCGCTTGATTCCATGTTAGCTTCATCATCAAGCATCCTCTTCCCATACACATCTACTTTCAGTTCCGAGGTTGAAACAACGTCTAAGAAGCCTCGAATGACCAAACACACGAATCAAGTAGAAGGGTGGTCGTCAATTCTAAATAAATACGCAGATTTTGAGTGCACCGTGAAAATCATGACCTAATGCTTCTAATTATAATTAGTCTTCTCAGAAATTCTTAAGGCCTACTCTAGAATACAATGGGTGGGGAACACGGAAAGTGCCCCCGGCCAACTTTGTCGTTAGGTCATAAATCCAACACCTATTTCAACCACAAAATCGCAGAAAAAGGCCAAAAAATGGGAGCCTTGACGTCGTGTTAGCTGGTGTGGTGCTGCTATGATGGTGAGGATGGTTGCTTTATCATGCTACAAATCAATGGTCAACTTGCATCCCAGTTTTGATTGATACAGGAAGCCATGCCGCAGTGCCCTTACTGCAAGGCAGTATTATCGTACAGTGGATTGAGGCGGCACATCAATAAGAGTACATCATGTAGTGCCGCTGAGCTTCGAGCACTTGGTAGTACTGCTAAGCCGAGGAAGCCCTCTCTACTTTCAACAATAGGTCAGAGATTAGCCCCATCACGATCTGAATTGATGGCCAGGTCGGTCCAGGTTGGTGGTCTTGGTGGTGGTGAATCATCACTTCTTTCCACCGTACTTGGTGGTAAACGAGCTCATGCATCATTAGGAGCAACACATGCATCATCAGGAGCAACACGTCCTGAATCTTCGAAGAGAAGGCGAAAATCTCCGGCGAAGCAGCAACCAAGGATTCCGGCTTCACGACCAAGCGCTATGCAAACAACAACATTGGCTGAAGCTCATCAAAAGGCGCACGGTTCAAAAGAGGATGCCAGTGCCTTCTTTGAAACACTAGCAACAGATAACAATACAGCAGCCGCAGTCGGTTCTCCGCCTCGACAACAAGAGAGAAACCCAAACCAAGCCCAGCAGCCAGAGGTGGCAAACAATGAAGACGAAGAAATGCAGCAGCTTGGGCAAAATCATGACAACAACAACGATTTTTCCACCGATTTGGTCGGTGATAGTGACCTATCCGAGGGAAGCTCTGACAAGGACCTCGATTCTGCCGAATATGGAGGAGGTGAGGGGCTTGATGACAATGTAGTCGCTGGAGAGGATGATTGGAACAACAAACCAAGACATCAACACAAGCATGAGAGCAAAGTTCAAATCCTATTGTAAAGAACAAGCGACCAATGGCTTGCCATTCCTTACCAAGGATCAGATTCGTGGTATCCAGCTATTAGACATCTTGAAGAGGAAGAAGGCGCCATTGGATACCTACGACGAGCTTATGTTATGGTACCACCGGAGCAATGGGAATCTGGAAGCAAATGAAACACTACAAAATGTCGACAAAATGGACCATATTGGACGAGGAAGTCTCATAAAAGTGCTCAAGAAACGTTACAACATGGACGATCGATTTGCCACCAAAAAAGCCTTGCTTCTACCACACAGTCAACAGAATCTTGAGCTTGTTTGTCATGATGCATGGGGGTGCATCGAGTCACTGCTTACGGATCCACGAGTAACAGATGATGATTATTTGTTTTTCGACAATGATCCAACAGCTGAGCCCCCGGAAACAATTGGTTCCTATGCAGATTTGAACACCGGAAAAGGATATCGGGAAGCAGTCAAGACCTACAAGAAAGGAATCAAGAAACGTGTTGTTCTACCGATTGTATTGTACATTGATGGTGCCGACACTGGAGCAATGAAGAGCATGCCTGTCACTGCTGTTAAGATGGCTCTTGGTATTCACACACGGAAGTACAGAGATCAAGACCAGGCCTGGAGAGTGTTGGGTTTTGTTGCCTCCGTCAAGAAAGCAAAGGCCAAGGGGGGGGAAATTCTGAAGCAATCAGGTCATATTGCTGCCCAGCAAGCTACTAGTAATAGTAGTACGACATTGGAAGAAGACGAGGAGGAGGAGGAAGAAAGCAAAAAGGTGGTGCAGTGGCTGATGATCAAGGCAAGCCAGCCGATTTTCATGCCATGTTGGATGTGATTCTAGAGAGTTTGGTTGATGTTCAGAAGCGTGGTTTCGTCTGGGATTTGCGATATAAGGGCAGGACTTGGAAGGATCTGGAGTTTGTCCCCTATGTCGCCTTTGTGAAATGTGACAACAAGGAGGCCGATACCCTTTGTGGTGCCTACAACAACTATGGAAAGGGTGTGAAGCATTTGTGCCGGTACTGCCACTGTCCGAACGAAGAGAGTGACAATCCAGAAGCTCGGTTTCCGTGGAAGACTGTGTCACAGTTAAAACCATTGTGTGATCTTCAAGATCTTGATGCTTTGAAGAAGATTTCACAGCATTGCATCCAAAATTGTACCTACAAACTGCGATTCAGTCCCATTAGCACTAGAGGAATACACGGTGCTACTCCATCAGAATTGCTCCATCAGGTCCTCCTTGGTCTTTTTGCCTACGTTCGTGATGCGCTTTATGAGCAAGTTGGTCCTGATTCAAATTGTGCTAAAGAAATTGACAACCTGGCGCAGTTGTTTGGTGGCACACATTTTGCCCGACAATGTGAATCAGACATGCCATTGTACAACTGTACAGATGGGATCCGTGAGGGCAGAATCACTGCAAAAGAGTACCGGGGTGTGTTGCTTGCCATGACCATGATTCTTCGATCAACACACGGGAGGCATCTGATTGTTGATGAAAAGAAGATGACGGCGCAAGATTGCAATGAATGGGCCGATTTGGTCGAGATTTTGCTGTGTTGGGAGGCTTTTCTTGGGCAGCCGAAAATATCTGTGCAGCATGTTGCCAAGCTTGCCACCAGAAATCGGTATATTATGTGGTTGATGCGGAAGAGAGCTGATAGGAAAACAGGACGGGGCCTTCGAATAATCAAGTTTCACGCTCTTGTCCATATGGTTGGTGACATCGTTCTGTTTGGTGTACCAATGGAGTTTGATACCGGATCTAACGAGAGTGGTCACAAGCTCACCAAGATTGCTGCTCTGTTAACCCAAAAGATCAGCACCTTGTTTGATTGGCAAACATCTATTCGACTGGATGAGTTTTTGTTGATTGATATGGCACTGGCAGAGATTCGAGGTTACAAGCTGTGGGATTATTACGACCAGCCAGCTCGACAGGAGTATGTGGCACCCCCAAAATTGGAAGCGCGGACTACTGGAGCAACAATCAACATCTTCCAAGAAAAGAACAACCCACAGGTGTATTATTCAGTAGGTGTTGGAAGTGATACTATGAACAGATTCTTCATTTCTTGCATGACTTGCAAAGCAAGCTGACCCCAAAATGGTTCGACAAGCTCAAGATCAGGAGTGAGTATCATCGAAATGGGCAAATCTACCGCGGGCATCCAGACTATCGAGGCTCTCCATGGCGTGATTGGGTTCTGATTGATTGGGGCGTATCTGAATCCGAGGAAACTGTTACTAGATCTGAGCCTGAAGCGGGGCTGATTTGGTGTTTCGTGGTACTCGAGAAACTTCCCAAGAGCAACAAGAAGAAGAAGAAACACAAAGACTTACTTCAGCATGGTGGCTTGTTGGTTCAAAATGGAGTTTATGCTGTCGTAGAATGCAGCCGGTGGGTTTCTGGCTCGAATCAAACCAACTCACGACTTTTACGAAAGCTAACCCTTGAAATGGCATCAAATGTACCCGGATCCACAAGCACGTGCAGGAGGTTCTTCCTCGTCGAGGTTGAGAAAATCAAGGGCCCTCTCTTTGTAGTGCCTGACATTGGATGCAGAAACAAGAGAAATTACTTTCAAATTAAGCCTCGAGCCCAATGGGTTGATGTTTTTGGTCATTGGCTGGAACAAGCGCTACCGGATGAATACCTCAATGACAAAGCCGGCCTTCAGTTTGGTCTGCATGACAACTAATAAGTGGTTGCTAGTACTGGCTAGAACAATGTAGATATAAATGTCTACTAACATCAACTACTATGTTTAGATCGAAGTTTCCACAAACTTTAGCTCGTAGCCAAAAATCTGTGCAGTACCAAACAACTAGATCCGCACGAAATGCTGCTGTTCAGCGGCATTTACAATCAATTTGTGAGCTTCTTCTTCATGATTGCATCGCCACGTGCAAAGATTGGGTACCGGTACTTAAAACAACACAATCTAACCCTAGTGAGTTGAGCTTGACATTGAAACGTGCCTACTGTAAAAAAGTATCTTTTGAGTCTAACCTAACCCTAGTGCTCCTAGTCCGGTTTGAACAATTGTTCAAACCGGACTAGGAGCACTCGGGTTAGGTTAAGTGGGTTGCTGTTGTTCTTTAAACCTTTCATTGCTTTCAGTGCCGGAAATACTAAGTACCCTAAACCTACGTTTAGAGGACACTTATGTAAGCATGCCATGTACAAACTGTTATGTAGGAGCGAATGATGTTTACAACTATGAAGATCATATAAAGGCAGGCGCATCCATGGTCCCTTCAAATGATTAAGAATGGTAAATTCAAAATATGCATAATGAATATCTATATTGGTGGGTGTTGGCGTCAGTTTCCCTCCACATTTTGGCCGGAAATGAGACCAAAATCTTGACCAAATGATGGCATTTCTTGACGAAAATGCCAAGGCGAGTACCAATCGAGTTAAGAAAACATATTAATCTATTGAAAAGGAAGGAGGAATTCCTAGAAAGTTATACGATGACAACGCAACAGGAGCATCGCCGTCGGAATGCTACTGGTGGTGGTCGTAGACAAAAAGGTTAGTCCCACAATTTCCCAACGGCAGTCGCGTGTGTCTGACAGAGTATGCCAAAACGCTCCGATCGGTTCTGTCGAAACAACTCCTCCAGCCATTCTTACTCGCTGTAGTGCACAAACATCATGGATGCACTCCTTTCCTTCCATTTCCGAACAAAGCAACACCTTGCTGCTGTATCTGCTGGTTACTCATCTTCTTTTGGTTGCTCTGATTTCTATCCTCCACCATTACCATTACCATTACCAACAACTCTGCCACTACTGCAAGACGACCACAAAGACGACGACAGCTGGAAGCCAGACGACGAGGAAATTGAGGAGGATCCGATGTCAAAGAGGCAGCGTGGTGGAGGAACCCACAAGAAGCATCATCGCAACACTCCTCTGCCCATCAACAAGCACAGGCAAACCAGCAAGAAAGCGAGCCCAGCTGCTAGCGTGGATTCATCATCTGACGAGGATTCTGACAAGGAGGAAGGCAATCTTGAGCAACCTGAAGTTGACCCTGTGCAACCTTTGCTGCATCAGCTGCACAAAAGGGTGGAAGACGGAAAAATCAAAGGCAACACTGAAAGAATCGTCAAGCAAGTACTTTCAGTCTATCCTTAGCACAACCAGAAGATGGCGAAGGGAGTTAAAGCTTACCAGGAGGAAACTCGGAAGCTGAAGGGCAAAGTTTCAAATTTGACAGCACAACTCACAGGAGCGAAAGAAGAACATGATGCAACCAAGGCGGAACATGACGCTTTGAAGCAAAAGTACAAGGTGCTTCTGGCAAAGAAAAGTTATAAGCTAACACAGATCAGCAGCTAAACATCGTGATTTGCTCTTGTACACATGGAATACCCTCACCCTTTTATCTTTTTCTGTCCAGCTGCTCCAAGTGGTGGAGGAAAGCTTTCTAAAAGAGAGTTGAAGAAGCAGCAAACGATGCCATTGCTGGGCAGGTGCAAAAGCAAACAAGGCGGGTTACCTTGTGTCGGTGCAAATTTCTTGATGACTGGAAGCAGGCAGAAGCTCTGACGGAGCAGCTGCTTGATGATGTCCTGATGCTTCCTGGCACCCAGTTAAAGGGCGACGAGTTGGAAACAGAGAAAGCGGAGATAAAGGTCAGTGTTTTGCTCATGATTGCTTGCTTTGCTTTGAGACTTAGGTCAGTGACTAACTGTGTTTGCTCATGATTGCTTTGCTTTGCTCCTGAATGACGGCTGATTCTATTGCCCCATAGGAAAGTCGTAAAGAATTTATCCGACTTTACACTCCCACCCTTGTTGAGGCCATCAACACTCTTCGAAGCAACATCTGCACAGAGATGAGAAAGCGGGCTCTTGAATGGATGGAAGGAGAGGGTGTTGCGAATGGCAAACCAGTTAACCCCCGTCCACTTCCTACTCTTGAAGCGATCAAGAAGATAATGCTCCGTGATTTGACTGTTGACATTCCTGATGGGGATCCGCAAACAGACAAGGAGGTTTACAACCTGGAGCTTTTGGAGCTGTATCTCAACCAGTTGCTTCCTATTGTGGCTGGGGCGTAAGTACAAAGCAGACTATTTGAGCTTGAATTCAGATATATTTAGTCATGATTCTCAGCTTTGCCCTTTGTTTTTTACCTCAAAGCCATGTTTACGGTGAGAAGCAGCGCCGAACCGTATGCCCCACTACTCATGAAGTTGAGGGAGTTCATCAGATTCCAGCTGGCACGGAAGCATTTGTCTACGTGGTCTATGACAATTGCTACAAGAGGTGGACTGAACTATACAAGTGGCGCTATGAAGAAGGGGGCCAAGGAAACTACCCTACATACAGCAGCAAGGAACCCAGTACTGTTCGCTTCAAGGGAAAATACTCTGATAATTGTTCTGGCCAGAAAGAGTTTGGTGGGTGGGCTCCTGAAGGCATTGACACGTTTGAGGAGGTCAAGGAAGAGGTCAAGATCAACCGAGAGTCGAATCTTGACAAGTTGGTTGAAATTGATACCAAGTTTGTTGAAATGCTGCAGGTAAGTGTGACAGTCTGTGCGCCATACCTGAAATTATTGCCACTCATCTATATACCTGTACCTTTTCCTCACAATTCAGAAACGCCATGACGAGGCTATGGCGAAAAAACATGACCAAGCTTCGGCAACCTACCAACTGAAATTGGACTCCCAGAAGCGAAAGCACGAGGCAAAGGAGGCACAAAAGCACAAAAAGAGGAAGAGAGCCAGCACCCTTGATGATTAATCAGGGGGCTCCGCTGAATATTTTGGGCCTGATACTTCCTGATTTTGACCTTTCGGTACAGATCCATCCCCTTGTTGCTGTTGTGTTCGGTTGCAGGGTGCTCAGCTGGTTATTTTTGCACCCCCACCACTATCCGAAACTGTACATCTTGACCTTTTGGTTGGGACATTGCCTATTAGTGGTGCTGTTTGTGGTTGCACGTGGAATGCAATCTGTACAAGGCCCCGTATTTTAAGCATGTGTTGGTCATGATATGTTCTTTTCCATGACCCATTCCCACTCCCTTTTAAATCCTAATTCTCTCCTAGTATGTTATTATTTCAACTCTATTGTTCTTCTAATTCTGTAGTCTAATGTTCTTACCATTCTGTATTGCGCACGGCCTGATCTACAACAGAATGGTGCTGATCACGAGGAAGGTTAGCCACTTAGCAATTTGTCCGGCAGTTGGCTTTCTGCCGAAATTACATGATGGAGATGAATCGGAGCCAAAAACCTGGACCGGAGGCAGAATGTTGGAGGTTTACTGGGCCAATGAAGAAACAAGAGCAATTGGTTTCAAGGGAAGGACTAAAGCAGAAAAAAGGAGTCCAGCTTTGGCAACTGAGAGGTACAGTCAGGAGGTTGTGGAGTTTCTCTGGAGCTGCAGGACAAAGTGGAAGACACATTGAATCCAAGTGTTGCCAGTGATTCCAGCAATGACGATGGACTTTCAAGAACTCAGTATGAGCTGCCAATCTACACAGAACACAGGAGGGACGGCCAAGTGTTTCATGCCCACCTGACTATCGAGGCACTGGCCATGGAGAGATTGGGCATCATATTCTGGGGAGACACGATGAAGGGGGTATGGCGACCTTCCTGGCAGATCTGGTGCTTTCGAAGTTGGAAGGGTTGCCAGAGAATCCAATTTGGAGCATGGGGGAATCCGCCTGGAAAACCAGACCTATGCTTGTAGTAGAGAGTGCGTATTGGGATGCTACTCCTGCAGAAGTCACCATGTTGGACCTATTCATTCCTTTCTTCAAGGATGTCAAAACGAAGAAGGACAAAGAATCACGTAGGTTCTACCTAGCTGATGTGGGTGCTAATGTTGCCCCAATGTGTGTGGTCCCGACAGGTTGCAAAGGAGGAAAACAGTATTTCCAGGTCAAGTCTCGGCAGAATGGGTGGAAGAATTCCATCCTGGGTGGAGGATCCTCATGACCAAGATAAGATGTCATAATTGGCTACTAACCACTCTTATTTTAAGATACTGAATTGGTTTCGAGTATCTAGCTTAGCGATTCGCCTCGCTTTTTGTAGAGCAGTAACAGTGATAATCGCTGTTCGGGGACGGCGGCAAGCTGTTTGGTAAGGTAAGGCCCCAATGGGACGACTTAGTGCCTTAAATGTGCTAGGTCAATGCCTATAAGTGTGGTAGGCAAACTAGTGCCGGTGTGTTCTTTTTTTTACACATGAATGAGGTGAGCCAGCCAATATTAAAATTTCGAAACTCGTGACACCTTCCTAAAAGGGAAAACAAAATCAATATACAATTATCTACAGCAATGAATATAATATACCCCTGGCTCGTGCCAACGCATGTCACCTCACTTTAAATTTCCTTAATAGTACTGTCAAATAGGTTACCGAATGGTGAGTTTTAGGTCACAAATCCAATTCGAATTCCTGCTGGAATGGCGCGCAAGAGGGCTCCGCCCTGGTGGAAGGGGAACAAACTTCCGACCAGAGAGCAATACAATGACATAGTTTCCATATGTCGATGCCAACGCAAGTACAGAAACGATAGAGCCAATGGCGAAACACCCAGACGAAGGCCTCAAGGTGCATATCGAATACCTGAAAAGAAGAGAGCAAATGACTGAAGTACGTGTACGTGTACGTGTATTATGTTATTATCCAATCACATGTGCATCCGACGGCTCTGTCGTTTGATACTCCCTCTTTATCATTTTCACCATTACTCCCACTGATTACACGTGTGTTTGGGCTAAGTATCGACTTCCAAGATCGCTTATGTATGCACCAACCGTGGAGACCCACGATGGCAAAGCTCTCCAGTCGTATGCCCTCATCCAAATTGCAGTCGATACCTCGAGTTGTGTGCGCCATTCAACCTCATTATTCCGACAGTTTGCCTTTGAAAAGCGAAAGCTCTGCCTTGCTAACACTACATTCTTCCACCATTTCCTCCTGTTGTCATCTTCCTTCCACTGGTCGACTTTGGCTCTCTTGGCGTGGTAAAGCTATTGGAGAGCAGACTGCTTCGGAGGGCGAAGATGACGAAGCAGAAGTCTACGGTACTGCGGAGGAGCACAGTAAGGTATGGAGGGCAAACAGAAGAATACGCGGACGAATCAGGACAGGAAACCTACCAAGAAGAAACGGAAGCCCAGCACGTCAGTTTCGGTGAGCAGTCTGTCCGATTCCAAGGTAGTGCCTCCAATCTACAGCCAGCCAGCGTCACAAATCGGGAACCCAGTCTGTGCATCTGGAACCAACGCCGCAAAAAGCACCGCAAAAACGACCAACAATCGGCTCCACCTCTGTCACCGGATACACCCTTCTTCCGTCTTTCTTCCCATGACGACAACGATCCTCCTCTTTCTCCGACGGCCGCCATCGCCCAGCCCTTCTTCTTCAGGGTCTCCTAGGGCCCGGCTCGTCCATACTCAAGATCTTCCCACTTCCATCCTTCCCCGATCCAACTCTTGGAATGATCCTGCTATCATGCAATCCGACTCCACCTCGGCTGTCGCCGCTTCCCGCTTCCGCTCCACCCTCCAGGATTCCCAACTTCATGGCCTCTCTGCCAAATACACTGCTCCTTCCAACCTCTCGGACTCCTTCTCTGACCTCCTTGCGAAATCCATTCGCAGCGGACCCCACACTCGTGCCTGGTTTCGCACCGAAGCCTACAATCTCATGCTCCCCGTAACATTGGAGGTTTTCTCATCATCGCCAAGTTCCGCCCGACTTGCCGACGCGGTTCATGGCTCTTTCAGCGACCTTTCCCTCTTCTGTATCACGTGACCCCCCGCTGTGGCTCTGCCCACTTCCATTGGCTCTTCCACAGCGAC